ACCAGCATGTGGGACAAAGAGCAGGAAATCCCAAGAGAGCGACCACATCCCTGGCCCTGCCTTGATACTCCTCCTGAATACTGGTGGGGCGTGGTTGAAGGTATTGGGTGATCCAATTGGCTACTTTTAGGCACACCTGTGTGATGTCATTTACTGGTGCCTAACGTGGGTGTGCCCAGGTTAGTTTCACCTGGACCTAGGGGCCTGAGTCTGTGCATGCTCAGTTTGGATTTTCACATAGGTGTCTGGTGGATGTCTGATTTCCCTGCAGCCCCTTTATCATGGCCATAGGCAGGCATTTGGGGAGACAGCCCCTCTTCATCCCTATTCTAGCTACCTTTCAGATACAATGGTGGTACCCACCTTTCCTAATTTAAAGCGTGCTATCTTTCCCTTTTCTGTTTGTATGACAGTCTCTTGGTCCATGTACAAGTTCTTCAAGAGCCCAATGAAATGTTCTGGATTTCCCATTATTTGTGCTGTTTTCCATAGCTTGCTATGATCAGTTTCCCTTGACTAGTCAATAAAACACAAGTTAACATCTTTTGGAGAGTCTCTGCTTTCATCCAAGAGCCAGCTGACATCAGAGACCATCAAGCAGAACAGAGGCAGGTGAATCTACAAACCCTGGAACCTGAAGGATTGCTGGATCCTAGAAGCTGAACCAGACAAGGAGAGGTTCCCTCGAGAGCCACACCCTGAATTTGGTTGTGCCCTCCTGAACTCAAAGAGAAGAAACTTCTGTTCTTGAACACTGCCTGTTTGTGTTACAAGCGTTGTTGGTGGCAGAGTTGAGCTGTGATCCGCAAGGCTCACAGTTCAAATCCACCAGCCATTCCCTGGGAGAAAGATGGGGCTTTCAACTGCCGTAAACAGTTACAGTCTCAGAAACTCAGAGGCGTGCTGTCTCCTGCCCCAAAAGGTCACTGTGAGTTGGCCTCGACTCGATGGCAGTGAGTTTGGTTTGGGTCATCTCTTTGTGTCACAAGACCACTAAATAACTAAAACCAAAGCCTCGCCAGCAGTTGACAAAGTCCCTGTGGAACACCTTAGAACTGCAAACAGGAGATCATTGGTCCAGTCACACTTCTCTCAGTGACCTTGACTTCTCTGGACCTCAGTTTCTCTATCTTTAAACAAACTGCGCTGGATTAGATAATCTGTAAGTTTCTACCAATCTCGATTTGGTGTTGTTTTTTTATTATTGTATTTAAGGCTGTTAATGACTTAGCTCTCAGAATAAGTCTTTTATTTGTATGTATCATCTGCACTGTTCAAAGTGGTTGCTACGAAATCTTCAGTGGTTAAACAGAAAGAATTAGTTATGACCAGTGGGTAAGCTTGGAAGGCAGCAGAAGCGGTTTTTATATAATTCCCAAGCTCCTTGACTGTTTCCTGAACAATTGATAACTTGGACGTCTCTGGTAGAGTCCATCATCTGGTTGAGATGTATGTCTTCCTTTCTCAACACTAGAAATAAGAAAATCAGCATAGTAAATGTCTATGATCAGCTGGTACTTCCTTTCATTTGTAAAAGTGGTAAGAAAATTCTTCTAGTTCCTGCTGAGAAGCAGACGCACATTCAATAGAATTTTATTTTCTTTCAGTATCATTTTCCTTACCCACCACTTAAATGAAAATGGTGATACTTTTTTAAAAAGATGTTACATTGCTAAGTAAAGAGAGGTCAAATTTTAAAAAGCGAAAACATCTAAAATCCATGAAGGCTCTCATTGAAAAACACAAAACCAAAAAGCAAACACTTGATAGCCGTTTGAAAGCAGGAGCTATTGCAGGTAATGTTACCGAAGACGCGAAGGTGATCTTTCACTTGTACACCGGAAGTGCTGTTCGTGGCCATCGGGCTGAATGTTGCTGTAATTGTAGCTGGGTGCCACTGAAATGGGCCCTCCGGACAAGAGAAAAAACACAGCTTGGTCCTGTGTCTTGCTCACAGTCCTGGCTCAGTTTGAGCCCGCGGTGTCCATCTTTCTCAGTTAGCGTCTTCCATTTTCTCCCCAATGATCCTTTCCCTTATTAAAGCATAATGTCCCTCTCCAGGGACGGATCCCTCCTGACCAAGTTCAGGAGCTGAAGTCTTGCCGTCTTCATGGCAGTCAAGAAGCACATGGATAACTCTGCTGCACAAGACCTCATTACAGTGTTAAAAAAAACACAGAGATGTCTGTGGACTAACATGCACCTGACCCAATCCACGGTGCTTTCAAACACCTCATTTATATGTGGAAACTGGACAATGAATAGGAACACCGGGGAAGAGCTGATGCCGTGGGATGAGGGTGCTGGGAGAGACTATTGAATAGCCCATGGACTGTCAGGACAACGAATGAGTCTGCTTTGGAAGACACACAGACAGGATGGTCCCTAAAAGCCAGGAAGGCCCAACACAAGTTCATGCCCCAGTAAACAATGTGCCAGGGACTGTATCTCCTTTATTCCACACAGCAGTTACATGGGACAGCTCAATCTCCCAAACCAGGCCTGTCGTAATATCAGAGGCCAGACGCCACAGTGCCATGCTACAATGATCAATTCTGCACAAATATATATTTTAATTTTTAAGACAAGCTTGCACAGATATTGATTTTGAGGGCATGATGTCTGTCCCTGGTGTGAGTTAGTTGCCGTGTGGGCAGCTCCAGTTCATGGTGAGCTTATGTTTAACGGAGAGATGCAGGCAAGCTTACAGGACAAAATGGAACATTCCTAATTGTTCCTAAAGTGAGATGATATCTTCGTCAAGGCCAAGGTTCGGTTTTAATCACACATGATATTATAAAAGACACACATTTTACTATGATGTGCAGTTGTCCAGGCTTTAAGAAAAAGCCTGTTTAAACAAAAAATGTGGTGTATGTGGTATCAGCCTGTAATGCTTTCTCATAAAAAAGTGCCAAATTGAAATGGGTTGGGCTTATTCGTTGTTGTAATTGAGCTGAAACTAAAATTTTTCATTTATGAAACTTTTCATAACACATTAAAAATAGAAGTATATAGAATTCGTCTAAAATTTCTCATGACGAGGCTCTGAGGTTTTGCTTCCATTGCCGCTTAACTTCTACACTACATGAAAATGTATTCGCTATGTCCTCATATGTATGTGAAAGCGGAACAGTGAATGCAGGAAACGGAAAGAATCGGTGTTGTTGAATTTCAGTGTTGGCAAAGAGCATTGGATATACACCGTGGACGGCCAGAAGAACAAACCAATCTGTCTTGGAAGAAGCACAGTCCGAATGAGACCTATAAGCAAGGATGGATGGGAAGACGAGTTCCGTATTTTGAATATGCCATTAGTGGGAACCCGCCCTGGAGAAGGACCTCCTGCTTGGTCAAGCGTGTCAGAAAGAGGGAAAGCGTGCGGTAAAGTCAGTGAAAAAGAGGGTGGGTAGCCACGGTGGCTCCCGTGAGGATGGCACAGGACTGGGAAACGGCTTGTTCTTTTGCACAGAGGGTCACGCTGAGTGGAAAGGCCCAACAACAGCACCACAATGACAACCTTGTCACCCCATGTCACAGGCGTGGAGCAATGCTTGGCAGACCGTAATCATTTCACAAACTTTTACCCTCATCATCCACTGACTTGGTGGAAACAAATCAGAGATGGGAATTAGAATACAAAGTCGCATGTGCTCTGACGGCCACGACATATGATGACTTTGTGCTCTCTTGCATGTTCCATTTGATTCTAACAGATCCTGGAGGATTATCCGGGTGAATGGTAAGACTCCCGTGTGCAGATGGTACCAAGGGATGGAGGTTACAGCTGAAGATAGAGTGTCATCAAATGGACAAAATGTAAGTGAGAAAAACGCAGGTGAAGAAGGTCTGGAAGACAAAGTCCAAAGGGATCAGACCCTCTCCTCTGCCACATGGGGAGCCTTGTACTCCCCTCGGCTCATTTCAGCGGCACCAACAAAACTGCTGGGAAAGCCGGCCCAGGCTGTAAACAGGACTGACAGATAAGGAGGCAAAGCACATTTTCACGATGAATTGAAACCTAGAACAGACTGCATTATGTCCCTGAACCCTCAGCATGAAGTTTTCCTGAAACAAAGTTAGTGTTTCATAAAACATGAAAACTCAAGTACACTAACCACAAAACAACCCACCAAAGGAAATGCAACCACTGCTCACCACTACACCATCGAGGGTAGGGTTTGGGCTATTTAGTCATCTCCTTAATTACTTTCTTTGCTCTGATGAAAATGTCTGGGATCGTGCTGCCTATACATTTTATTCTCAATTTCTACTTTGTGCGTTGACTTCTTGAAATTGTACCCAGCGTGAGTCCCTATGGATTGAATCTTGTTCAAGAGAAAGCAGAATGAAAATAAACACTTCCTAGTAGTGTCAATGCTTATACTTCAAGACCAAGCTCACTCGCTTTGAATGGGATGTTGGGAGTGTTGGTCGTGTGACATTGATTGTACATATGAACAGGGAGTTTAAGCGTGTGTTGATTAAATCTAGCAATTTAGTACTCCAAATTTTTTTCTCTCTCCCAACCTAGGAACAATTCATATCCCCCAAGTCTGACATAAACATTCACCCTCCTATTACACAAAAGACTTTTTCTTAGTATAAATAGAAGAAACTTACACATACCCTTTGTAAAATGCTATATATAAATGCTGGGCTTGGACATGGAGAATTTAATCACAATTCCATGTTGCTTCAGGGCAGTTTTATGCAAAATGCAATTTCCATATTATTGAAACCTCCATCCTGTAAATATTTATCATTTTCAAAATTGCCAACATATTTGAGAACTTTAATTGGTTTATACTCTAGGCAATGGAGAAGAAGGCAAATTTGTTCTTGCAGGGCATTGGCATGTATTTATTCCATCCACGTAGACTACTTCTGTTGAGTGATCATGAAATTGAATGCAAGGAGATAGCATGCCATATTTGGTCCTAATGACCAAATTAGAAGACAAGGGATACATAATTAATCAATCATTTTCATCACTGTACCTTTTTTCTCTGACTTATCGGAAACTTTTCCTCCAATTGGAGAGTAAGTAGTATCCATGGACTCCGTCCCTCTGTTCCCCTTGCTAACTCCATTTTCATAGAGCTGTCCTTCAACTGGTTGCAACTGCCAAGTCAGGCCGAACAAATGTACTGCTGCAAGAAAACAAGCCATATATTAACTTATTCCAGACTTGCTGAGGTCTCCAAATCGGACGTCCCTCTGCACCTCAAAACGTCACGATCAGTTTTCTATTAGGCAGGCCAAGCATGCGTGAGTTTATGCCTGCATCGTATGTGTAGCTACTTTTCCAAGTCGCTGTTAAACTTCGAGGCTGCCCTTCAGTACTCTAGCCCCTTTCCTGATCTTTTCCCCTATTCATGTAACTCTAGTTTGCATATGGCAATGGAAGGTTACTGGTAGGCACGTTAATACCAGAACAAGGGAGACCTTCTTTACAAGTTTAGTTCAATTTGCTTTAGAAAATCATTCCTGAGTGCCTAGTATATATAAGGTACTATGATAGCTGCTAACCACAAGGTCAGCAGTTCGAAACCACCAGCCACTCAATGGGAGAGAGACAAGACTTTCTACTCCCTTAAAGAATGGCAGTTTTACCTTGTCCTAGAAGGTGGGTATGAGTTGGCATGGATTCAATGGCAAGCCAGTGTTGTGTGTTTTGTTTTTAATGATAGGTGCTGCTGCAGGTGTTAAGCTTAAGATGCTGATTTGTGTGTGGTTTGGCAGAAATGTAGTTACACAAAAAAGTATAATATAGAATAGGTGACATGAGCATCGACACCTAACCAACAAACACACCCACTGCCATCCTGTCAATTCCAACTCATAGCAACTCTACAGGACCAGACAGAACTGCCCCTGTGTGTGTCCAAGACTGTAACTGTTTATAGGCGTAGAAAGCCCAATCTTTCGCCCCTGGAGCAGCTGGTGTTTTCAAACTGCTGACGTTGCAATTAGCAGCCCAAGGCATAACTCACTATGCTACCAGGGCTCCCTGCAAAAACCCCAAACTTAATGCTCCAAAGCCCATGCTGATTCATAGCAACACCCCTGTGGGCTTCAGAGACTGTACTTTTTATGGGAGTCGAAAGACAGTCTTTCTCCCTCAGAGCTGCTGGTGGTTTCAAACGGACACACCTGCAGATCGCCACCCAATGTGGCACCACTGTGCTCACACCACGCTCCCTAGGTGACATAAAGAGCATTGACATCCACTGTGATCTACAGCAGCCTATAAATGGTATCAGGGACTCTACATCTTTATTGAAGCGAACAGCCTCATCTTTCTCCCTTGGGGCGCATGGTAGGTTTGTACTGCCCACCTGTGGTTAGCATCCAAATGCCTAGCCCATAGCATTACCAAGGGCTCTTTTGAGGGAGGCTCAAATAGCTAGCAATGAGAGGAATTTTTTGTGTTTGTTTTCTAAATACCAAATGCTGGCTAAATGGGCCTTGTCATACCCTAAGGAGCCCTGGTGGCATGGTGGGGTACAGGTTGGGCTGCTAGCAGTAAGGTCAGCAGTTGGAACCAAGCAGCCACTCTCAGGGAGAAAGATGAGGCTTTCTGCTCCTGTGAAAGATGTACAGCCTCAGAAACCCAGAAGGGCAGGTCTCCTCTGTCCAGTAAGGTCACTATGAGCCAGAACTGAGTCGAGGACTGTGAGTTTATCATCCTTGGTGACTCACTGTGATTGAGTCGATTCTGACATAGACACTCTAGAGGACAGAGCAGAACTACCCCCATGGGGCAGTTCTCTTTACAGGAGCGGAGAACTTCATCTTTCTCCTGGGCAGCAGCAGGTGGATTCGAACGGCTGATGTTTTAGTTAGCAGATACACTGTTGCCTGGAGTGTCAAAACACCATGACCTTTTGGGAGGGCAACTGACACTACTTATGAAACAAAAATCAGCTAACCATTTGAGGAAACAATTTGGTTTCTTCTAATCATTCTGAAGGAATTTAACTATGAACATGTATGAAAGGTTTTCTATTGTAATACTGGAATACTGGAAAGTCAGGATAAATCTAAATATTCACCCAGAGGAGGGTAATGATGTAACAATATAAGATTATGTGGCTTTAAAACAAATAAAACCATTATGTGGCTTTTAAAAGCATGTTACAGAAGCATGGGAAGTTACTCATGAAATGAAAACTATCAAGCTGCAAAACAATAGGAATAGTGTGATTGGGGTGTGCTTATTGTGCATGTATACAAAAGTGTCAGAATGTATTGTTACAAAATATAGACATCTTTATTAAACAAAAATATCAACAATTTAAGCATCTGTTTCTCAACATATCCTCCGTCTCTGTCTATGAACATCTGAGGGCGATGCTTCTATCTCTGACCCTTCTCACAAGCAGCCGTGGCCAGCAGCCCAACCCCACCAGCCACTCCGAAGGAGACAGAGGAGGTTTCTGCTTCTGTAACGTTTTCCAGCCTCGGAGACCTCCAGAGGCAGCGCTACTCTGTCCTACAGGGTTGCCATGACATGAGTCCATCAGAATGGACTTCACGGCAGTGAGTTTGGTGTTTGATTTACTCCTTCCCTGAGGAATCGTGCAGTTTTGATGTCCACAAGAGACTGCAATTGCATTCCTTATCAATGTACTTTGAGCTTGGGGAACTCAAAGAAGCCCGAGGAGGCAAACTCAGGGTGGTAAGGTGGATGAGGTTGTTTCCTAAGAAAATGTTCACAGATCAGTCCTTATTACCCTGGAAGAATGAGCAGAGCATGCCTATGATGAAGTAAATTTCCATGACCAAATTTCCTGACCTCCTGCTCACCCATGCAATTTTTCAGTATTTTTACAACTTTTTCATAATAAGCACCAATGGTCATCCTGTAATTCTTAAAATTAAAAAAAAATCAAGACAACCAATTTGAAAACCCCAAAGTCCCCTTAATTTTCAGAGCTGACTTCTGGGCCTTGAATATATTTTACCTCTCTAAAGGCACAGTTTTGAATGGGATTTTGCTTTGAAGATACCCTAAGGAGACTAAGACAAGTGATTTATTACTGAGAGAACTTGTCTGCAGCCATCTGGTGATCACACAGATATGTTTACACACATTAAACTAAATAAATAAACTGTTGCATGTATGAAGTGGAACCCTAATATCAATACTCCGCACCCCCTTATCGCCATAGTACTACATTAACAATGTGTGAGGTGGGTGGGGGTAGGGATTATGTAGGGGTTTTAATTTTTTTACTTATGATTCCTGTATTTATTGAAATGTTTTTACAATGACCTTCCCATCTAGGGAAAACCCCCTTCCTTCTGAAAATCTTCCTCTTTTTAAAACAAATGTCTTAAAAGAATGATAGATTACAAGTGACGGGGCTGATGGGGGTTGATTTTAAGAAGTACCTATATACACATGTATAAGCTGAGTTTTTCTGCACTTTTTCTATGATAAAATTGGGTTCCTTGGCTGATATTCAGATCAGCTTACACTCGAGTATATACGGTAAGTTAGGATTAGAAATGAATGTTGACAGATGTGTAGTGCTATGATGGGTCGCAACAATGGGTGGGGTGGAGGTATCGTGAACATAATATGACTGCATGAAACACAAGATGTGTCTGAGGTAAAGGAAGGTGGTGAGTTTCACGGGAGCCCCGCTACGTGCAGGTGGCCTTGGATGTGAAGGCTGGAAACGGGGAGGAGGGTGACATTATTGAGGAACTGGAATGTCTGGGTTTGGATTCAATTTAGTATAAGGTGGCTATTCAGAACAACTAAATATCATCAGAATGTCCTTTGTAGAAAGATAAATTCCGTAGTGCTACTGAGAATGGCCTGGAGACCAAAAATTATGCAAAGGTTCTAATTTTGGTGGCATTGTAATAGGTCTAGAGAAGAAGTAAGAGTGTCTCAGGCAGGGTCATGGCAATCGGAATGCACAGGAGGGAAAAATGCATGAATGGTATCTCTGAATGTGGCGGTGGTGTGTGTGTGTGTAGAAAGCACAGAGAAGTGAGGGAAAAGTAAGCAATCCTAAATAGTTGAGGATTTGAGTTTGAAGAACTTAGCAAAGTGTAAAACCGTTCAGAGTAAGAGAATTGCTTGGAAGGAAGGTAGAGCAGAAGCACTGAACATATTAATAAGCCAATTAACTTGGATATCTCACAAAACCATGATACTAAATTACCAAGCCAAGACGCTGAAGCTCAAGAGGTTTTTGGATGTAGTCTCAGCAGCTACTCCCCTTTTTGGTTGTTGTAAATATATCCACCAATACACAACAATTGGCCTCTAGAGATTTGCCTAGAGCAGTGGTTCTCAACCTTCTTAACGCCGTGACCCTTTCATACAGTTACTCCTGTTGTGGTGACCCCCCAACCATACAATGATGTTCATTGTTACTTCATCACTATCATTTTGCTACTGTTATGATTCAGGCGATCCCTGTGAAAGGGTTGTTGGATCGCCAATGGGGTCACAACCCACAGGTTGAGAACCACTAGCCTAGAGAAACCAAGAAAGAAGTAGAGTCAGGAATAAGAAGAGGATACAGAATCCTTTGATACTTGCTCCCACGAAAAACTGCTCCATTTGCTGTGACATCAGAATAACTGGACAGTACACAGTTACACTACCGAACATTTTGATCAGAGAATGTGTAGCAGAATCCCGAAAAAAAGGAGGTGTGTGTAAAAGCAGAACAGAATTACAAATTCTCATGGATTCTACACTTCCTGGAGTCATGGATTTCAAATGGAAGCATGAGACTATCGTCCTTAGATGATCCATTAAACGTAGCTTAATGACTAAGATTATGTCTGTCTTGAGCACTGTGGGCCTTTGAGAATTATCTATATGGGATCAAATTGACAACAGCAACTCAGAAGGTTCGATAGAATCATAGGGAGCGGTGACCTTTTATACCGGGAGCAACAACGCAGGAAAGGGGAGGGGTGAGCAGAGTGGCACAACTTGAAGGATGTAAGCAACTGTGCAATTGGTGTATAGTTCGCTGTGCATATTCTCAACACAAAGGAGCCCTGTTGGCACCGTGGACTAGGCATGGGGCTGCGAACCTACCTAGCGTCCATTCAAACCCATCAGCCACGTTGTGGGAGAAAGATGAGGTTCTCTGTACCCAGAAAGATTTACCAG